AAAGACTCATTGCATCCCATTATGTCATGCAAGCTTCTGTCTAAAGTTTCAAAACAGTGTCGCCTCATCATGGAAGCTTCATCCCAAGTTATGAACTTAGCTTGTTTTACCAATTCTGCTTGATCTAAACCCTTTAACATTGTACATGTTGTAAAATCGTGTACATTAATTGGTATTCCAAATCTTGAGTGAGCTGTCCAGCCTCCTGGTAAAAGCAACACAGCAATACCACTGGATGCCACATTTAATATTATTTCTCCCAAAGATCGAATAACAGCACTTAGGATGTTCCAAAGAAACGTTTTTTCTGTTCCTTCTAAACCATAAACGAAAACATACCACCTTTGTCACCATTTACTGCATCTAGTATCTCTTGGTAAACAGCTCTTTGCTCATCAGTTATCTTGGCTAATAGCTCTCTGTGTTTGTCTCTTTGCTCATCATGGTTGTAGTTTAGCTTGTCACTGATCAAAGAGTTAACATCAGTATCATATGCATAAGCATCTGGACGTGACATACCTTTAAAAAATTCCAGTGAGCTTCCATTAATACGCAGGAGCGCTTCAATCTCTCCCAAAGTTAGGCTCTTTATTTGATCTTCTAATAAACTCAAATCTGAAAAGGGCGAAAATGAATTTAAAACTTTACACTGAAAACATTGTATTAACTTGTGATCTTACTTGGATTTTTTGTTTTGTTTTCTTTGGTTGTAAAATATATCCTCAGATAGTATCTCCCAAGTTGCATTCCATACATTTTCTGAAGTTGTGACACTCTTTGATATCAGTATTATAGAAAACAGCATTCGGAGGTACTTTCCAGAGCTCCAAAGACTTGCTTCTTTAATAGCTTCAATGTACTCTTTATCCTCGTCCAACAAACCCAATGCATAACATGCATCTTTGAATGTCTTGTGGATATAAACGTTAACTGTTCTTATCTCTTCAAAGCTTGTTGCACCTTTGACTATATGTAGCAAAACCCTTAAATAATACACTTCACCTAAAAATGGTGGTACATAAATGATCCTTCTAATTGCAAAACTCCTCCGCCTTGGCTTCCACATTCTTGTTTTCAGATGCCAAAGAAAGTATGATGGGAAGTCTGCATACGTTAGATTTTTTGCTTATAGATATATCTTATTGGCCTCCATCTAGGCGATAAACTTGGACTTCCCGACAGAAATTCTGTTTATTATATCTTCAATGGTGTCATCTTCATTGTAAGCAACCAGTTGTTAACCTGGTAGATGGAATGATAGTTTTTCTACTGATATTTTTCTATAGTGAGTAGGAAAAGCAAGAGTTCTCCAAGTACATTCACATGTGGATATGTAGCTGAAAAATTCAGCATAATTAAATTGAAGCTAATGAACATTAAGAATAATACTTTATTTTCAGAAGTTACCTGCAGCTATAGTGTTTTTTTATTTGATAAACGGTATCATCATTCTGGTCGTCTCTTCCTACGGATGCGCTGACATAGTCTGCTCTTTTAGTAATATACTTAAAAATGTACTTGATAGAGCGTGTTTGGTTGCTCCATTCAACGTTAATATGAGCACGGTAATGAAGCGATAGATCCTTATTGTATGGAACGACATATCTATTTTGACATTCAAACCCTCTCTTGTGAACTATTCTTCCATCTTCTCTCCGTTTATAAATAGAAAATCCAGCACCATCAACTTTAGTGACTGCATTAAAAGACTTGAGAAAAATTTTTGAACACTTGCCATCAATCATACAAACATTGGCTTTATTAACAGCTCCGCAGGGTCCATGTATCATATTATCTCCGACAACTTCGTACAAGTACGGTTCCAGATCTTTATCAGGAAGTTCTGCGCTAATAAACTTATCAATATCTTGACCGTTTGACATTTTTGAATCTGGATGCAAAAACATCACCATATGTGCATGTGAAAGACCTCTTTTCTGAAATTCAATTGTGTACAAATCTGAAACAAAGTAATAATTAATTAGTTAATTTTGATTTGTAAAATATAGAAAAATTAATAATTATTAGAAATAGAACAAAGTAAATAAGATTTTACCAGCATTAACTTTACCAAAAGTACCTTTCTCTCCTTTTTTAGTTAGATGTTGTATTATACTATCAAGTTTCATTTTGAAAACCCTGCAACATATGTCTGGCCTATCTTCTGATTTTAAGTTGTGTTTCTGAAGATACCTTGTAACTTCTGGCCACTTAGGATTACAAGTAATTGTAATGAAAACATCCAGATAACCATAATATTTGCACGTTGCCATGGCATCAAGATAGTGTTTCATCTACTCTCAATAATAATGTCACGGGTGTTCAAACGAATGTTGAAGTCACCTGGGTATAAACCTGCAACTTCATTTGCAGTTTGGAGGTTATGCGTTCTTCCATCAGCATATATTTCCCTTGGCAGCCTTAATTTGTTTGGTGACATCAAACTTCTCTCTTGCTGATCTTAAGACTTTGACATGAGGATTTTGAACATCTAACATCTTTTTAAGAAGTCCAACTACCGATTCATCCAAACTTGCAGCAGATCCCATTTTACTACATAAATCGTTTCAGAAAGTTATAACTAAAATATGTTCCAATATAATAATTAAAACGCAACTGAATTTATTATATTATATATATATATATACATATAAATTCATATATTACATATAAGCTTTTATTCTATTTTGTATCTCATTCACGGTGTCGTGTATATAGAGTTGCAAAAATGCTGGATATTTGTTGGGACCGGGCAAAAGATCACCTATCCTGTGATAATTCTCACCGCATATTTGATATACATAAGGTCATTTTCCATTGTTCAGAGAATGGTTAACCTTCTCACCAAGCAATGTGAATGAAAACATCATATTGTATGCTCTTATGAATTGACGAAAGTGTTTGCTTTTTTTCATCTCCATTGAAAAATAATACTAGTAATGTGGCTGGTGGAGTCTTAAGTAGTGGAAGCTTGAATTTGCCATGTTTACAACACATAGCGAACACATATTGTTTCTTTTTTCACTCGTTTGTTAATCCGTTCACCCAACCACATGCATGCTTTACAATATTGACATATATATAAAGGATCACCGTCATCATACTAACCTGATATTAAGAAAACACGAAGCAAATTTAGCTTTAAGAATAATAATTTATAGATTATGAAGGGCAGTCTTAAAAAATGATTACATAGAAGAATAATGTGAAATAACTACCATTCTCTGATTCTTCTGGTTTGATGGTTCTAGATGTATCCATGTTTGTGCTAAAACCTTTCAAAGCAATCTGGTTTTGTTTGGAATTTTTATTTTGATGTACTTCACTCTCATTATCATGATTAATGTCGATATCATCATCAGAGTGATTGAAATCTGTAATTTTTAAAAAATAAGTATTGAAATATTGGTAGAGTTGTTAAGAGTACTAAATCTGTATTGAATTTAATTACCTACTGAATCAGATTCATGCTCAGAATTAGCGGCTATGAATGACATGAAATGTTCTGTGTTGGTAGAGGTTAAGAAAAATATGTTGCATGAAGACGGTGTTAAACATATATGTATTTGAGGGTATGATTTGAACATTGCATTGTTTTAAATATATGTTGTTACCTTCTTCTTCATCGCTTGCATTCCTTGAGGTTTGATTAGTAAGGTCGATAGTAGATGATGTTCCAGGGGTTTTAGATGATTTATTCTTTCTTGGTCTGCCACCTGAAGTTATGAAAAAGAAAAATTGTTAAACATCAGTGGAGAGAATATGTAGATAATATCTTGGGTATAAACAGAAATAGACTTACGCTTTTGTAGAGGTGGTGGTTCTTTGGCTTTATCAATTATTTGTTCATCTTGTTCATCCATATTCACATCATCTGCTTAGTTTAAAGAAGGTTGTTGTTTTGTTTGTCTTTCACCTATGATAACTATCGGTCATGCTCAATATTGAATATAAGTTTGTACTTGTAATTTTATTAACTTGAAGGTGTGCTTCTCTTAGAAACTTTTCTTTTTGTTTCAAGAATTTGCATTCTTTCATCGCTGGCGATATTCCTTGAGTTTTGATTAGTAAGGTCGATCGTAGATGATGTTCTAGGGGTTTTAGATTATTTATCCTTTCTTGGTCTGCCACCTGAAGTTATGAATAAACAAAATTGATAAACATCAAGGGAGATAATACGTAGAAAATATCTTGGGTATAAACGGAAATAGACTTACGCTATTGTAGAGGTGGTGGTGCTTTGGCGTTATCAGTTAATTATTCATGTTGTTCATACATTGTATTGATTTGGTTCGTATGTTGGGTGCTTTGTCATAGGACGTTTTTATAGGTCAAGGTTTGTGTTCCTTTTAAAGATATACCCAAACATTTCTATTTTATTGGTTTGATAACTTGTGAAATATACCAAAATTAATGTAATTTCATTTTTTTAGCAAAGGAATTGGTTCTTATTTGAGAAAATTATCTTTTTATGTCATATATGAATTAAATAAGAACATAAATCTTCATAAATATATTAATGAAATCACTTTTATATGGAGCCGACAATGATTGATCATAAATCGATGCTATCATATTAGGGTTTCAAATATGCTATGTCATATTTTTGAATGTGCCATGTCATATTTTTTGTTGGTGAGAGTCATTCGAGACTATGCCATGTCATATTTTTCTTCAAAATCACTTCGCAAATATAGTCTAGGGGATATGTTATATATTATTTTATGTTTTCACTAATTGTTATTGAAGTCTTCATTTTAACTATGTATTGTTTTTGGTTATAGGTTTTCATTGATTTCTTGTTAACAATTAGGTATCAAGTTTTATCTCAACGTGTTTGTGAGCTACTAATTTCCCCAAATTAAAAGCTATTAATGAACACACAATGCCTAATACTTATAAGTATAACTTAAGATTTCGGTAATATCATATTTATACTTTAGACTAGGTTATGAATCTGAAAAAGTTCAGTAGGTATGGGCATAATAAATGTTGTTTGCTTAACTAAAGGTTCCATTATTGAACCAAATGGAGAAAGGAGCATCCAACATCTGGAAATTAGGGATGCTGCGCGTTACAACGAACCCGCTCAACTTGTAGACTGACCCTTTGCTGAGACGCTGACTGAACATGAATTGACGGTTCACATTAACAGAACCTTGAATAACCGTTGTTTTTTAAAATGACAAAATTTTTTTTTAAGATAATTATAATGGTACCAGCGTCAACAGCGTTAATCAGAAAGGAAGTGCTTACATTCTCGTCGATGAAGAGCATGTCTAGACTCATGAGTTCACCGCTTTTCCTCACATTCCTGGCCTCCCAAAACCTTAGCTAGTACACCTCGGTGGTGTTGGAGCAGCGCCCGACTTTCAAATCGGCAAGGAGGATGGAATAAATCACCATTGTAGCAATCGGAAAGTTGAACAAACTTCTCTTTTAATGCTCGTCGAAGCTGTGATGTTCATGTCTGCAAAAAGGATATATATACTCACACATCTACATGGTTATTTTCGAGATGCGATAAGATGGTTTCAATGATCCAGAGTGGGTTAATCACTTATAAAATAGGAGGAAAGAAGGTGTGAATCAAGCATGCATCGAGACGTTACAGAGAGTTGATAATTTATTCTGATATCTACAACCCCGTCGGCTGATCTAGAGACCTCAAACAAAGATGACGAACAAACCTATAATATTAAATGATCTCTACAACCCGAAAGTTTTAACACAATCTACAACAATAAAAACTCAAAACAAATATGCATTTTACCAATAATATATATTTTTTCTAAAATAATATATTTTTTCAAAAACCCAATAAATAATTTCTTAAACTTTAATGAGGTGACACATGGCACTTTTTGCCCTTCATGGAGAAAAAAATCTAATTTTACTATATAAGATATATTAATATTAGTATTTAGTTTTGAATATTTTAGAATTACAAAAAATACAACTGGAGTTTTTTAAAAGAGATATTTTTGATTGGATTTCTTGTAATTTAATGATATTTATAATTAAATACTAATATATATATATATATATGTATTTTGAGATTTTTTGGAAAAACCTTATTGTTGGGGCCATCAATGAGTATCTTAACTTTTATGTAATTTAGTTAATAATTAAATTTAAATAATAAAAGTAGTATAGATTATTGATAGAGTAACATATGTAAGAAGAGTATATTCAGTTTTCAGGAATCTATCCAAATTACAATTAGCATTACTGTCTTCCACTGTTTACATTTTTTTTTTTAAATAATATACAGAAACCGTCTTATTAGCACCCCTCCCGGGGTTATCTTATGAGGTACCTTTTAGATACTCTCATGAAAAGTGCCCCTTTCTAAATAATACAATTAAATAAACAATTCTTAATTTAATTGTGTTATCAGCTTATATTATATTATAATATTAGTATTTGTGGTATGCAAACTCTAAAGTGAGAACTTTCTGGATGGATGTGTTCTTTAGCCTTTTTTTTTGTGTTGTGGTTCCTGCCTTTTTCAACTTGTTCTAATACTACTCTACTAGAAGAATCAAATTTAAGCAAAAATTTAAACTTAGATGCTTGGACTGAAAATTTTAAAATCCTCGTGGAAGTATTAATTAGCCAAATATAATAACTTAGGACAACCTTACTGGTAAGTTCTATCAAAGTATCTATTCAATCAGAAGTTAATGAAAAATTAAATAAATGGAGAGTAAATAAAAAAATGACAGAAAGACAGAGAATGAAGTTGTTGGCAAAGATACTCAACATAAAAAATTATGATACTTTTCTGACATGTTTTAATTAATGATTAGATCATCCTTCTTCATCTGATTTAAAATTCATTAGGTGATAATCTGTGTCCAGCGCGGAGTGAAGAGATTTAAAAAGATCATGCTTGAATCAATAGGTATTAGAAAAGTATAAGTTATAGACACAAATACTACTATTATAGAATAAGAGATTCAACGAAATTGTGTATGTATGTATAAAGTAAGCTCTGAGTTTTTTTTAATACTTGAATAATTTGTTTTGTTTAATTGAAGTATATTTTGTGTAAGTGAATCTAGAAGAATGAGTAAGAACTTATACAAAATTAATCATAAAGCGAAGATAAAAAAGGAAAAAAGTGAATATAGAATTATTGCTTTCTTCAAATAAGTTATGAATATAAGACATAATGAAAAATAGGCAATAGAATAATAAAATCTGAAATGAACAAAATATTAAAAAAATAATAAAATAAATTAAAAATTTGGGAAAATCACAACTGCCGTGAAAAGTGTCTCCGGAACTCTTCGTTTACAATCCTATTAAGAGAAATAACAAATGATATCAGCTTGCGAAACTAAACACAGTTATTTAACAAAATCAGTAAACAAAATGTATTAATTCATTCTGAAAAGCATCGGTTTTTGGAACAACATTGGGCTCAAACAAATTTTGGAAAAACCATCAATACTAGTAACATTCTTTCTTTTTTTTTACGACAAAGATAAACTTAAATACCGTATTAGTAACATTCTTCAGTTGACCTTATTATGAAAGACCAAAAGAATGTTGGCAAAATATACATCTAATATCAGCTACTGTTTTTTAATATAAAATAATAATAATACATTACCTACTCCCCAATTAATTTGTCAAAACTAAAATAATTTGGTAACCTAGAAGAATATACAACAACATATCGATGCATGACTTCATATATTTTATCTCAATTGATTACTGTTAAATATTGTAGTTTGACACAAGACAACTTAGAGTGCCCAAATATCACTAGATATTATAATAGACATATCTAAAATTGTAGAAACTTACATTATAATCAATGAAAACCATTTCAATGGTTAGGCCATCAGTAGCAGAGTATGCTTTCACAATCGAATAATACTCACCCTTTCTCTCCACATTGTCTTGAAAGGTTTCAAATCCACTATGGAGTTAAATATCGCTATGAGTGATTTTTTTGTGAGGATGTTTTGGTAATGATGATATGAGATGAAGACTGTGGTGAGGAGATGTGCTTATGTGCTACATATTTATATACAGTGAAACCTCTATAAATTAATAATGTTGGGACTACACTAAAACTAAAAATTTTATTAATTTATAGAGATTATTAATTTATCGAGATATTAATTAAACCAAAAATTCAATTTGGGACTGTGAAAATATATTAATTTATAGAGATATTAATTTATAGATTATTAATTTAAAAAGGTTATACTGTAAGTAATGGTCGGGTTTAGGGTTATAATCTGTGAGGTAAAATTGGGTTAATGATATGGAATTCAATAATTAATATTCCAAAACTTGGGCTCCAATACAATATTAAAACCTGCCTTACAACTCGAAAGAAGAAATATTAATGCAGATACGAATTGACGTCAATTTATTTGTCAAATACATGGAAAATATTATATTACGGGTATGAAAATTTAGGCAACAAAATTCAATCACGTATTTGACCATAGACAAATCATATTGAATCCCATATAGCACACTAAATATTTGTGTGTTACCATTTATATGGATTCCTTTTTTAAAAAATATTGGATATTAAGTTAAGGTATTCCATTAAATTTGGATTATAAACTTTATTTTTTCAACTGGATCTATACAATCAGTCAAGTTACTGTATCAAAAGTTCTATTTTAATCCATTTTTAGTTTAAAATAAAATCATCTTCTCCTGAATGAGTATATCAATTTAATATGGTGTATACGATAATTTGGTATATGGTTAGTTTATCATATCTTTGATTTAATTATGTGAAAAATGATTAGCTAAAAAGACAAATAAGAAAGAAAAAAAACTAAATGAATCAATTGATATGAAAATATGGTTTCTCATCCTAGAACAGTCATGAAAAACATGGTCGTATATGAAAATCCAGCTGAGTTTCAAAACATTCATCTCGATTATTAAACTCCTCGAGCATCCAACACCCTATAGATCTGTAAAAGTAGAGAAGTAATTATACACAAATAGTTTATTTTGTTTTTCAGATTGTATTTGTTTTGGTTCTTCTCAATTATCATATATTATATGGAACGTCCCAAATTAATGAATACATTAGATCAACTTTAGATGAATTTACCGAAAAAAACATTAGATGAATTTTTAGATATTTGATATATTATTTGATATTGATAATAAAAATTTTGATACTGATAAACATGGGAAAAAGGTCGATTAAACCCTGAAGTATCAAACATTGGCTAAAAAAACCACAAAGTTCTCCTCTCCCCAAATAAACCATGACGTTTAAGTTGACCAACTCGTATTAACCTTGCCAACGTCAACGTTAAGTGTCACTAAACTGAGAAACGTTAAGTTTTTTTTTATGTTTCTTAAATCCTGTAATTAACAATGTAAACCTTAGAATCTGGACATATACTTTAGGACTAGAAATTATTGTATTTTCTCGTTGTGACTCTATTGTGAAATCTTCTTTGGTTTCCTCTGCAACTAAAAATACAGACGAGAATTTGCAAATGTATTCTTCGAATACCCAAAGACAAATGTCAAAATAAAATTAAGTATCAACACATTTCACCAAAACAAGCTATTCATAAATATGAAAATAGAACTGAAACAAAATTCCACAACACTGAACTTTAAAATATAGAAACAGAACTAAAAGAATATCTTGCTAAATTCCACCATTTTCTCTTCCCTGCAGAACTCCACCATTTTCTCTTCCCTGCAGAACTCCACCGTGTGAGCTTTGTCCGTCCTGTAATACAAACCAAATGAAAAAAAAATTTAAACACGTATAGAACTTAGTTAAGTAAATAATGAAACTAAGTAAACAAACATAATAACCTGTTTTTTTTTGGGTCGACCTCTAGGTCGTTTCTCCAGAACTACAAGTGAATTGGAGCAACGTCTTTTGTTATGGCCTTCTTGTTTACAACGTGAGCATGTTGGTATACGACCATCCCGGGTTAACTTTCCCTTATTAGAAGCCGATTCATAAGGACCTTTACGCCTAGCGTGAGTACTCTCTCTACCACGATTGTTTGATCTTGATGGTGGTGGCAACACATGTAATCTGTTTAACCTTGGCCATAATTTCATACCTTGAACAGGTTGGATACCACGAACATAAGCTTGTCGCCACTTTTGCGTAGTGTAGTACTCAGATACATAGTCCTCAGCCTTTAGTTTTAATGCTGTGATAACACACATGGCATGAATGCATGGTATACCATTCAACTGCCACATCACGCAACCACAAGTTCTTGAGGCCATATTAACCCGATAAGCAACACCATGGTAGTCTA